TAAGACAACCATCGTTTGTTCAAAGGCTTTCTATGAAACCCCCCTTTTAGAGACTTCTTCCAATCAGCGTGTTTCTGTTATAGTATATTAAAAATTCATAACAAACAGTTCGATATGCAGCTTCTCGCAAGGAATTCAGTGGTAATACGAGAACGACCAACAGAGCCATCGATTACATGCGATAACCACCACATCAATACCTTGTCGTCTAGCTTATCACCCGTATACCAGATGACAGGTTGTTGTTATTGAAACATGCTTCGGTTTCAACACGTTCCTTGACTATACTACATTATTTAATAGAATAGCATCAGTCGTCCCATCACCACGATGAAATCACATACAAGCCCTCTTTCTTCCATTCCGCACAGAGATAGGACGTATTGACAAAGGACTTCTCACCATCAGTCGCCACAAGACAAGTCACCGAGGAATGTCGTGTATTAACTAACAGACCATCTAGACAAGTCACTCACAGGGACTGATTGCGAACATCAACTCAAGTCACCAAGACAAGCCACATAGAAAAGGCAGGTCATCAAGACTATCACTAATAACATCCTTGTCAATACGCAATGTTTTTAACAAACAAAAAAGGCAGTCGACCTAACAACTGCAAGATAAGAAACATATATGCTCGCATACGTATCATTGTTTAACATACGTTCGTCGAGCTACTGTTTTACAGGATAATTACATGGTCTTTTCTCGAATTGATGATCAGTTCCTGTTTTGACTAATTTTACGACCGATAATTATTGAAAATGTGCTTCCCTCTAATGTTCTATTACAGGAATCGATGTTTGTACTTATTGCTAATCTGATGTAAAATTCTAACCAAGAAAGCTTTGATAGGCGCCTAGATGTTGTTTTCTCCCTTCATATTTTTAATTTTCTTTTCTCGTTTGTTCTGTTCAAATGAGATTTTTCCTTGTTTATAAACAACTTTCCAAAATAAAAATTCCTAGTAATCTGCTAAAAAACGCGTATTTCTGCATTTTCTCTTGTGTTTATTAACGTTTTCCAGTATTTGCACTAAGTATGGCGGCCAAGGTGGCCTGTACGTTTTGACCGTCTGGTATTCGCTACATCTGCCTGATCGCAAGAAATTATGAAAATATCTCGCAAATATTTTTCGAAAAAACACCATTTTCACTTGCAGTGAAAGGGGAAAAAAATAGTACAGAATAATGATCCGATGTCCGTGGCTTTCTACAGTCTAGTTCAGAATGTTTTTTCCGAGTACGAAATCGATGAGTGAGTTTGAGTTTTTGAATGTGGATTTTAAAGGATGTAACGTCTCAAATCCCACTTTTCTAACCATTCTTTAATTTTATTTCCACTGGCGTTGCTTTTACCGCAATTTCAGCCACGATGTTTTGCGTTGACGTCTCAAAACATAAATATGTTTTCATTTTTGTGCTTATTGAACAGGTCAAAAGGTGGAACATATACGGCTAATACACTTAACGTTTGACTGAGAATCTCTAACTCAATTATCAGAAAATTTTCCTCTCTGTCAAAGACGTTGCTTTTCAGACTCTGATGAGGCAGAATAGCAACACCACCAAGGCTGTTGATGCCTTTCTCACTGTGCCAATAATACGACCGAATAGAAGGGAGATTTCGCAATTGTTTTCCTACTCCTGTCAATACGCATAGAAGTGCCATCTGAGAAGAAAGAAGTGCATCAAGATCAGTCAGGTGGTGCTACGCCCTCTGCAATTCCATAAAAGAGTAATAAGATTCTCAGACGAGCTTTTAGGCCTTACACCAAGACTTACTCAGCACAGATATGAATTTTATAGTGTTCCGGTCACAAAACAGGTTAAAAAAAATGTCTTTCTCACCAATGCTACCCTCAAAATCATTGAAGTGAGTGCCTTTTCTCTCATGGTCTTTCTTTCTTAATTATCGTCCTTGCTTAACTACTTTTTTATGTTATTCATGATGATCATACAAGGTACCTACCTCTTTCATCTTTTCTTTTGTTGTAATGTTCATACAAAGTATCTATCTCTTTCATCTTTTCTTTTGTAGTAATGTTCATGCAAGGTATCTATCCAGGTCCAGAAAAACAGCCAGTTAACATCCAGTAAACGGTTACACAAAAAAACGGCGCGTTAACGTTTTCAAAACGGCAAAAAAACGGCCAGTAAACAAGCCGTTAACTTGCCTTTTTTAGTGCGACCGTTTCATAATCGAAAAATCGTCTGAAAATGGCCATGGTTAGAAAACGGTCAGTTAACGGACCATTTATTATCCAGAAAGAAATTCGGCATTAACTGGCCATTAACGGGTAGTTAACGGACCGTTTTTTAGTACTTTATGCTAGAGCAATTTCAGAATGATTTTTCAATGTTGCATAACACATAAAGTAAAAATCTTTTGAAAATTTTCGACCGGTTTTGAGCCAGATGCAAAATGCGAATAGCTCCATCAAAGTGTGTGACACTTCACTTGTAAATAGAGACATTCCATTGAACTACATGGAGTTTTAATGTACAATTGCTGGTTAATCAAGCTTAGGAAATAATTAGTTCAAAAAAACCTCATTTTATAGTCCGGATCTTCCACTCTGTACCATAAAGTTCTCAGCTCATTATCATTTAAACTCATTAAGCTAATCAGCATATAATCAACAGAACTAGAAATTTTCTTTTTTCTTTTTTTATACTTTGGGGTAAATAGAGACACTCGTGTGATTTTTACGTGAGCCTGTAGAAAAATGTTCGGTCTACCACCGTGTTCAATAGCAAGTTTTTGCGATCAAAAACGGCCAAGAAATAGCAGAAAAAGAACAAAAATTGCAAAGAGTGTCTCTAATTATCACAAAGTACTCTGTATGTCATGAAACATTCAAAAATGATTTTAAAATCACTCTAACTTAAAGTACTGAAAAACGGTCTGTTAACTGACCGTTAACGACCTATTTACGGTTTGAAGCGTCTAATATGTATTTATCATGAAACATTCAAAAATCATTCTAAAATTGCTCTAGCGTAAAGTACTGAAGTAGGACCTAAAAACGGGACGCTAATTGACTGTTAACGGCCTGTTTACGGTTTATCGAATCCAATATGTGTGTCTTTCGTTTTTCCTTCAGCATATTTCACACTATGTAGATGCAATGAAATAAACTAGATGTAAAGTAGTACGTAAGCTTGCAAGCTTGAATAGCACTTTGATAATGTTAGTTTTCGATCCCACATGGCCATATAGTTACAGCGGCGTAACCAGGATTTTTCGACCGAGGGGCAAACTTCTATTGTGGCGGAAAAAACCGATGGGCAAAATGGGCAAGTTTTTTATTGATGGGCCAAAAAATCGCAGAAAGAACAAGCAAAGAGTGCATGTGGGATTCAGACGGAAGAAAAAAATTACATTCAGTATCTAATTCAGAACTAAACAAACAATTCTGAAAAAGTAAAATTTAAATGGGCAAAAACTTACTAATAAAAATTACAATGGGCAAATCTCAAAATGGAATGGACAGCTGCCCATTTGCTCCCCCCTCCCCCTCTTGGTTATGCGGCTAGTTACAGTGACAAACCGACAAACACAAGTTCTGATGTTTCAATCAAGTAAACAAAAAGAATTATAGTGTTGTTAGATGATGTGTCTAGTGTAGTGTCTAGATTAGGTCGATTAGTGAGCAACGGTAGATTCGACAGATAAGTCAGAGAAAAATTTTTTAATTTTTTTTAATATAATAGCCCAAGTCAAAAAGACGGCCCGTTAACGTTTCCAAAACGACAAAAAACAGCCAGTAAACGGCCAGTAAATGGTAAGAAAACGTTTACAAAACGCAATTAACCCACCGAAACAATCAAGATTTCAATAAAAAAAATTTCCTATCTTATGCTATCCGTTTCGGTTGTAAAGCTGCGGTTTGCATTACAATTCATCAAAAGCTTTTTTCTGCTAGACGTGTGCGATGGTTCATTCAGCAATTATTCATATCGATCATCTTTAATGATCAGTAAGGAAACCAAAAAGTTTCTAACTTCTTTGCTTATATTTAACAGAAATGTTCTAATCGAATGATGTAGCTAACCATTGTTTACTTACACTGTTTACGAAACTTACGTTTAAGAAGCTTCAATCAAGAACGCCCTATTCTGCGTTAATTCCGATAAAATGACACATTATTATGCAGTAAGGTTGCAAAAAGGTTTTCGGGCGAAGTAATTGAACAAAGACAACGTTATAGAGTTATAAAGCTATAGAATTTATGAGAAAAGCCCTTAACGTTCATTGTCAGCTCAAAGCTACAGAAATAAGAAATTAATTTAGCGCTTTCTTCGTAAATTCTATAACTTTGCAAAGAAAGATCGTGTAGAGCTGGGAGACATTTTATTTTAATCAGAAATCCATGGGCTACAATCATGCTTCAGATTTTGGTTATTGTTTTTAGAGTTTCTGAAAAACTCGTTCTTCAGAAACCCGATCTCCGGAGATCTATCAGCCAAAATGATTGTCATACTCGGAATCAGCATAGTTGATAACCTATAACCCACTAGATTTCCCCCAAAAAGTGATGTGACAGGTGGGTCGGTCTCCTCGTTAGAAGTAATAATTTTTACTTAGCGATTTTGTTTTATAACTATGATTTCAATTCATTTACTTAACAAAAACATTTTTTACTTAAGTATTAGTTATCAAACTTAGCAAATATTACTGAGAAAGTAAAACTAACCGAGCTTTCAATGTTTTCACTTAGCAGTCAGTTTATTTCATGAGCAGATACAAATTTTACTTGACAAAAGTCAACTTAGCATTTTAATAATTTTACTTAGCAAATAAATTGTGGTCATAAATAATTATCGTATAACAACCGCTATTTTCATACCAAAATAAATCAGGAAAACAGATTCATGATTTGATTAAAGATTCGTGTAATGAAGTATGGCAACAATTCAAAATTTTAAATACTTTTGGAAAAAAGTTTGTAAATTATCTATAGAAATCTTATGTCTATTAAAAAAAGAATGACTAAACTATTGATGTCTATCATTAAGTAGATATTTAGCCGTCATTTGAATTGCTTTAAATAAAGATGAATTTTCGTCTGTTAAGTTATCAGCTATAAGTGTAATATGTTCATCTAAGGCTTGCTCATCGTCATTCCATATGTACGGTTTATCGTCACTGATGGGTACTTTAACGATTTCACGTATTGACTCGTAAGTTCTGACGGTGTTTGTTGACAATAAATTTCTTGCATCGTACGTATTACCTATTAATTTGCTCCTTAAATCAACACCCTGTACAAATATTAACAACGCAACTGAAATTAACTGTTTCATTGTTGATACTGAATGTCGAGCTAAATTAGCTGAAACGTGTCCCATTGAATTAATATTTTGATTATATTGTTCTGCATGTGTTGAATATCTATCAGCGATCGAATTACCGAAGAACAATAAATATGGCATGATTGAATTAGCGCATAGTTGTAAACCTTTTACACCCATATTAACTTCTCGCTGAGGATTACTGATTAAACAGTCAGGCAAACCATTACTAAATTCAGATGCTACAGTTTGAGCAATTTGAACATCCAGGTGTTTTGATATTAAACCAACAATATATCTTAAACGGTCCATTGCTGTACTGATGTATTCACCAAAAAAGTTCGCACCAGCTATATACAAAAAGGGAAACATTTTACTTACGTTTTAGTATTTTACCTTAGAAGAGCCCTATCAGATCTGAATTTGGTCCTATAACATCTCTCTATTTGAGGAATGGAAGGTAGAGAGATCTGCTAAATTTTAGGGTTTAGATCTATTATTAGCAGTAAAAGTATAATATAAGCGGTTCAAAACTCTGCAATAGTAGAAATACATCACTCGACGGTAACAGCTCTGAATTGACTTTATCATAAAAGTAAGCAGTCAGATACCAGGCATTGACAAGTGAAGAAAAGTTTTTTTCTACCAAATGTTATTCGCCAGTTCTGTATTTTCATTGTTTTTTAAACTGGATAATTCTAGATTAAACTTATTACCGTAGGCTCTTTGGTTTTCAACATCAATTAATGGATTATCATTTGCTGAATTAATCTCAACTTCAACAGCACGAGCAATCTCGTGTAAACCTTCAATAAAGGGACCAAGATATTGTGGCATAGCACGTATGGAATAACGATCTTGGATTAATACGTTTTGACGCATGTTATGCGTACCATCCAGATGATCATTTATCATCTTGGAATCTGACAATAAATTCAGGATTGTACTGGCGATGAGTTTCTAAGCGGTAGAATGAAGTAATAAATGCTACAAATCACAAAAAATTTTAACTTTATATACCTGACCATGATGAGGTTTCATTTCATGTAGAAACGGATGAAATGGTTGATTATTACCGTGCAGTGCTTGTATAGCCAATGCATGAGCATGTAATGTTGCAGCGAATAAAATGTACAAATCATAAACAGCTATTGTCGCGGAAGCTGTCATCATACTTGTACCATTAATCATCGCCAACCCTTCTTTCGGTTGCAAATACAGTCTTTTTAAATCCATTTGCTCTAATGCATCAGTTGCATCCATCTTTTGCCCACGAAAATTCACCTTAAAACTCTTATTTGTACCACATATTGATCCAACAATATAGGTTAACGGTACTAAGTCACCTGATGCACCCACCGACCCAAATTCAGGTATAAGTGGTGTTATCTGTTCTTTTATACATTTGATTAAACGATCTGTTATCTCCATTCTTATGCCTGAAACACCGATTAAATGTGAATTGGCCCGTAATAACATTGCTGCTCTAGCATCCTCCAATGGAACATAGGCTCCAGCACCAGTTTTATGAAAATAAACCAAGTTATTTTGTAATTCACTTGCCTGGCTACATGATATTTGTCGGTGTGCCATACCACCAAATAGCGTTGTTACGCCATATAATGGTTGAGATTCGTCGACAACTTTGCGAATATATTCGCATGAATCGGCCATCTTCTTATGTACGTTAAAATCATTTGTTATTTCTACCGGATACTTTTGTCGCACGATTCTTATCACTTTTTCAATTGTCAAACCTTTTCCACATAAAATTATGGGGTCAAGTGTTGTTGACACTGGAGAGGTATCGCTTTGTTGTTGACATGAATTCAATTTAGATGAAATCTGATTGTCCTTAAGGTCTGATTGGCAGATTGTTCCGAATTTTTCTTTTATCTATAAAATTCGAGAATGAGACGTATCTACATGCTATATCGCGTAAAACTTATAACATTGACTATACTTAAAAGGAAATAGCGTTTCTGCCTCGCAACGAATTTTAAAGATGACAAATTCATTGATTATAAACTGAAACGAAAAGCTTTTATACATTATTTCTAATATGTATTAGTAGTTGAAATTTATCGTTTTCT